GACAACAGTTGGTGCGATTATTCGCAAACGGAAGAAACACACAAGAACTGTCAATCTCCCTCGGCCTGGGGCTCCATGCAAGATCTCACCTCGTGGAGTTGCAATTATCATGAGAATGGTGAGGAATCAGCCCAGAACTACACGGGAGGATCAATGTCAATGATCTCAAGGCAGCTGGGACCATAGTCACCAAGAAAACAGTTGGTAACACACTACGCCGTGAAGGACTGAAATCCTGCAGCGCCCGCAAGGTCCCCCTGCTCAAGAAAGCATATATACATGCCCGTCTGAAGTTTGCCAATGAACATCTGAATGATTCAGAGGACAACTGGCTGATCCAAAACATTAATGTGACCCTGGCAACAGTGTATACTCTATGAAGTCGTGTCACATATAGTCGTGATCCCACTGTGTGCTCTAGACTCGCTTAAGTTTTGTACAAGGGTGGGAAGAAGGTGAGTTTTCAACCTCTCCTTAAATAACGAGCGATGCATTATGTTCAACTTCTTTCGCACCGTACGTAGCCAACCATGCTAATCGGAGGTACAGGTGAAGGACAACAAACTAAATACAAAAATCAGTTCTAAAAACAATTATCTTTCAATCTAGATGATTTAAAAGTGCATAGCTCCAAGGGCTTCCTAATCTCGGAAGGAAGAGCGTTCCAGACGGGCGCAGAAGCGCGTCCGAAAGCGCCATGCGACGCGTCGACCGCCGTCTTTGTTCGACGGCTAGCAGCCAAAAGCCGCTGCTGCCGCCGCGAGGATGACGGGAGTTCACGGAAAGTGATGCGGTCACAGAGGGCAGAGCCACAGGCAGCGGTGCTGCTGGAGGAGGGTGAGGGTCTGTCGGCTCCGTCGACAGATCCTCACACCGGCGTGGCGCCGTCGCAGAGGCGCTAGCTGCGAGGAGCGAAGTATGCGGGCGGGAGCCATTGCGTGAAGAGCTTCGTGAGCATAATGAGGCAGATCTTTAAAAAAGAAAAAAAATTGGCGTCTCGTAAGCAAATCGGCAGCCTGTGCAGGTTTTTTTCTTCTTCTTCTTCTGAGGGATGGTGAAACGCGGCTCCCGTTTGCGACGGCAAGTAATAATAATCATCATCCGCACCCACGCATTCTGCACGCCTTGCAATCTCTTTGAACGAATGGCCACAGGTCCATCGCATAATGGATTGCAGTGGCCTGGACTGGACAAGACCAGGCAGCGCACCACATTTTTTGAAACATATGCAACAGCCTTGGCTTTAATGAATTGGAAACACGGAATATCGCCCGCAGTGCGTGTGAGCTCATCGCAACCCCCCGAAGCGAAGCAGAATCTTTGGGCCCGTGTAACATGGAACAATCGACAACCAATGCGTATCACAGGTGTTGTTAAAAGGTTGCTGCAGCACAGAAAGATACATTGTTGTACTGCATTATGCTACCACGTCTATGCTCCCCTCCCTCACCCACCCGCGTTGCCCCAGCGTGGTGGATGTAAGAGCGGGCAATCCGGAGAAGCCACGTGGCATGGGGTAGGCGGCTCCTCACCTGGGAGTGGATTGGGAAATAAAGGGATCGCTGAACGTGTAAATAATACAACAGCGTGCATTTTGAGCCTGAGAACCAAAGTAAGGTGTCGGTAATACAAGAGCTGCAGCTGTAATGAGCTGGACCCTTGCCCTTGGCCGTAGAGACTCCACTCCGAAGAAGGGATGGGGTTAATGCTCCACGTAGTAAATTAGTGCCTCCACGGTTTTTTTTAGTTGGCGACAAAACGCAAAGTGAGACGCCCAAATCCATTAACGGCTCACACCTGACACCCGGGCTCATCCTATCCCTTTCCCCCGCACACACCGGGGGCGGAGGGGGGGCTGAAATTTTAGCGGCTTCCCGTTATTTTGAAATGGACCAAAAGAGGCATTTAATTGAGATGCAGTGGTGGCGAGGAGGCACTTTAGTTAAGTGCTTTTACAGCCAGCCAGCTAGCCCGTGTTGTGACCTTTTGGCTGCGGAGAGAGGTTCCTGTGGAAACTGCTGCGTCGTTGATGCTAGGGTGTCAAATGTAAAGGCCCTTACCCTCCCATCCCTGCTTAAAACAGGAAAACACCTATTTTGAATTAAAGCAGGGCTTTCTGAAAATTATCCCCTTTTCATTCAACAAACCTTCTTGGCTGTCCATCGAAGACGATGATGACACTGTTCCTCTTGTTGATGGGGGGTAGGGATGGGTTCGCGCTTTGGGCACTCGTGCCACTTCATGTGACTGTGGAGGCAGATGCGAGAGCCGCACACTCCGCTGCAGCTGGGACACGCCGTGTGTGTTGGGTGTCGGACGGCGATTTCCCAACTGCACGTTGATGTCGCTGGGTGCGTCTCTCGCATCTCCTCTATGAGATGGTGTCTTCAGGTGCTGAACCTCTCTGGCACAGGGAGACTGCCAAGTGGACCTGTCCAGCGCCAGGGGTTCCAGGCTGGAGGGATTGATGTTACAGCGATTCAGTAGGTCCTCCAGCGGAGCGTTTGGCTGTGATTAGTTGGCCATTGAGAACTCGATGGGCAAGGCAGTGATCAGGCATGCGGATCACATCGGCGAGCCAGTGGAGGTGTCATTTAGCCATGCTTGCTTCACTGCAGGACGACTTGGGTTTTGTCGAGGATCTCAGTGTGGGGTACTTTATCCTCCCAGGTTAGCCCTAGGATGCACTGGAGGCATCTCATGTGGATGGTTTCCAGAATGTTGATGTGCCACCTATATGGGGCCCAGGTCTCTGAGCCATGAAGCAGGGTGGAGACACAAACGGCTTTGTCAACGCCACCTTGGTGTGGGTCTTGAGATTACGCTTTTCGAAGATCCTGGCCTTGAGGCGTCAAAAAGAAGCAGAGGCTGTATTGACGCGAGCGGGGATTTCGTCGTCAAGGGAGCACGTAGGGGAGAGGGCAGCACGGAGGTAGTTGAAATGGGGTACCAATTTGAGGGGAAGACCACCGACATTGAAGGTAGGGAGTGATTAGGAAGTGGAGGAGAGTTGAGCAATTATTTATGTTTTCTGGGTATTGACTTGGAGGAGACCAGGTTGAGAGTGTATCAGAATCAGAAAGGGTTTTATTCGCCATGAAAGTTCGCACAGACAAGGAATTTACTATGGCAGGAAGGTGCATACATTCAACATGTAGGAATCTTAAAACTTAAATAAGTGGTATACAGTCTAACTATACTAAAGTTACAAAGTCTAACTAATACTAAGGGGCTAAATTATGTAAAATTTTGAATAAGTATATAATATAAAATGTGAATTAGCCATAATATACAATCTTAAAATACAAAAATACGAATAGGGTAACATGTTGTAAATATGGCAAGGTGTAGAAAAAATGTTAAAGTAAGTGTAAAAGTCATTTTAAGTGTAAAAGTATTGCATTTATTCTGGGGTCTGAGCCAGGAGTGCATATTGCAGTTCAAAGATCTGTTGGGTTCTGGATTTTGTGTAGGCTTGGAGGAGTCGTAAGGTGACGAGATTTCCATCCAGACGGTACTGTCGCTGGAATCCGTCGATTGAGTTGAGGGAGTTGTGTGCCAGGCTTGTGATGGCAGCAAGAATATGAACAGGAGGCAGAACACAGCCTTGCTTGACCACGACCTCCACGTTGAAGGGCTCTGATTGAAGCCCACCAAACACCACTGTGGCATCCATTCCTTCATGGAACGGTTTTAGAATGCTCAGAACCTTGGGAGGTACCCCAAGTTTGGTGAGGTTCTGCCAGAGTATATCGCGGTTGATGATGTCAAATGCGTTGAAAAGGTGGATGAAAACTATGAAGATGTCTTTGTTTTACTGCTGGCATTCTTCCTGCAGTTGCTTTGCCACAAATATCATGACGGTAGTGCTTCCTGCCTTACCTAAAGCTGCACTCAGATTTTGGGAGAATTTTTCGGATAGGTGGAGCATTATCCTGGCAAGGATCTTACCGGCGACTTAAAGGAGGGAGATACCTCTGCTGTTGCTGCAAGCTGCTTTGTTACCCTTCTTCTTGTAGATGCCTACAATATTTGCATCCTTCTATTCCTGTGGGATGGTTTCAGACAGCCAGATGTACTTGATGAGAAGGTGCAAGTGTCAAAGGTGTCACCCGTGCTTCAGGATCTCAGCTGGGATGCCATTGGTTCCAGCACTTTTGTTGTTTTTCAGGCCTTTGACTGCCTGGTGGACCTCAGAAGACTGTGGTGGGTGTTGAGTTCATGAATGGGTGGGATATTTGGGAGTATGTCGAGGATGAGCGGGTCTGTGTGGTTAGTGTGGTCGATGAGGTTATCAAAGTGCTCTGCATATCTCTCCAAGATCTTTTGGCAGTCTATGAAAAGTGTGTTGCCATCAGCAGACCTGACCGGGTTGATGGCTTGTTTTTGGGGACCATAGAGGGCTTTGATGGCATCGTAAAACCCTTGGGTGTTTGTTTGCAGTCACGAGGCTTTGGATCTCATTCGCTTTTGTGGGCTTGGCGTTCTGTTGGAGTGTGTGGATGTCGGCAGCATTTTTTGTCGAACCATTATTGGTTTAGCTGACTGTTTCGGAGGCTGCCTTGAGGATGGCCATGCGCAGCTCAGTCCATGTGGTGTTGGGGGCGGAGTTCGGGGGGGCAGGGGTTGGGGGGAGGAAATTTGGTGGAGGGGAGATGCCGCAAGTTGTTAGTGACAGCAAGGTTTTTGGTGGGCATTACAGTTTAATCTCTTATTTGGGACCTTCCTTGGATGGCGTGGATGTATCTCAATGTGGAGCTTGGCTTTGATTATACAGTGATTAGTCCAGCATTCCACCCCACACATGGCTCTGGCGACCAGTACCTCATTTTAGTCACACTAATGAACGATGACGTAATCTAGGAGGTGGCTGTGTTTGGAGCGGGGGTGTTGTCAGGAGTTTTTATGTTTGTTCTTCAACTATAACAGGGTCTTGGTGATCACTAGGTGGTATTTGGAGCATAGGAAGAGTAGCCGCAGCCCCTTGCTGTTCAGCTTACCCACCCCATGCCGGCCTCGTACATGGTCCCAGATCTGGTGTTTGGAGCCCACCCTGAAGTTGAAGTCTCCCATGAGGATCATCTTGTCGGTATGTGGTGTATTTTAACAGCAGTGTCGAGAGATTTACAAAAGGCCTCCTTGGCATCATTGTATACATCCATTATAGGCGCATAATCAATGATGAGCTTCCCCCACCCAAGGGAATGCACCACGTCATCAGCCGCTCACTAATGCCAGCAGGAGATTCAGGGACGAGCTGGAAAAGTGAGGTTTTCACAGCAAAACCCACTCCATGGAGGCTGTGAGCATCTTCCGCAATACCCTTCCAGAAGAAGGCGTAGCCCTCACCAACCTCTGTGAGAGTCTTCTCCGTGGAAGCGGGTTTCACTGAGCGCAGCAATGTCAATGACGTATTTCCTGAGTTCATGGGCCATAAGGGCTGTCATTCTGTGCGGTCTGTCAGTTGTTTGAGGAGGGTGCGGACGTCCCATGAAGAAACTTTGGGCAGGTTTTGGATTTCCATGAGTTTCGGCCGCTGAATGGGATGCTCTGGCGGTAGCGGCTAACCACGCAGTTAGTGGAACAATTTTTAGACCACCTTTTCTAGGTCCTTCCGCATCAGAGGTGAGCAGTGCGGGGCTGCTCAGGCACGATGGAAGCTGCTGAGGAGACATGCTGTCCCATTCCGCGTCTCGGCGACCTACACTCCATCGCCGCCTATATGCAGAGTTTGCCTAGATGCTCCCGGTCAAATCCTTGACCTGCACCTTCCGCCATTTGCTGTCTCAGCGGGGCTTTCAAAAGGGGGGGAGAGGGGTTGGAGCACGCAGCCTGCGCAGGGAGTGGCATGAGGAACACTCAACGACCTTCATCTGGCCAGAGCTGGAGGGGACTGCCGGAGATCCGGTTTGTTGAAAACCGCAATTGCAGGTCCCCACCACAGATTTGGAGTCAAGGTTTTCTCCTCTAGCTAAAGTTTACCCACAAGGCAGTGGGGCAGTGGTTTGCAAGTTGTAGATAATTCTGGGGACCACTGCAGCTCCGAGATCCCCTACTGGTTTGGCCTGGTATCGCGAGACACCAGTTACCGTGGGCTCCCAACGGGGAGGCACAGTAGGAGTCTTGATGATGGAGAGGCTCTGTACTGGCAAGGAAGACTTACGCACTTAGCTTCCTGTTTCACCATGACGGCTAGCCAGCGTCAGTGTTTGACAACTTGGGTCGCAAAACATAGCAAGCAAGCAGGCATGCACCTAAGCTAATCACGATTGCTGCACTAGGCGCATGACATCACCCTGTGGTGAGTAAGTAAAAAGGTTAAATTGTTCGCAAAACAATTAGTTATGACTTGTTTAAGGTAGCCTTTAATGCATGTGTGTGAGGCACGTAATAATTAAATGAATAAATATAAGGATGCTGATCTGGTATGCACACGAAAATAAAGGTAGACTTACATCTTTTAAAAACGAAATCACAGAAACGGTTATGAAAGACGTACTTATTATTATTATCATCATCATCATAAGCCGTGATGAATCCCCTGATGGATAAAGGCTGTGTCAGTCTTGGCGGGTTGTTTGGTTCATACTTAAAAATGTATAACTGATCCAAGTGCGGTTCTCCAGTTTGGGCTTCACGTTTAGTGTTTCTCCTCTCAAGCTTTTGCCACGGCTCGCTGCTGCTGGGTACGTAGCTCTGTGCGTACGTATGTACGATGAACTTATCTCGCACCATACCTAGCCAACTGGGCTGAAGATGTGAGCAGCAAGTATGTGGCGAATACTTTGAGAGAAATGCTCAACACGCTGGCAGACCCACAATACCACACGTGGATTACAAGCTGCTGTGAAAACTTACACGCGTTAAAATGAAAAGTAGATTAATATTTTTTTTGACTACGTCGGGGGTGAATGGCGGTGTTGCTGATTGAATCATTGGAGCCATTCCTTCGAAATCGAATATCCAAGCATAGTGGGGGCTTTGTGCAGTCCCGATAATTTTTTTCTGCTGATCGAAATAGAGTTTCATTCTCCCGTTGATGTATGATTTATCAGCACTTGTACCCATTATCGCACACTTTATTGAGTTGAGTGGTCTTGGGCAAAGTTCCAGTCTCCTTGTCAAAATTACTTTTGCTTCTGCCAGTTATTAGAAGGGGCTAGCCAACTATTAAGTTTGTCCTTCATTTATTTGTTTTTTGGTTTTTGTCGAGCACTTGATTGTAGTTTGATTTGTGCCGTGTTCTCTCTTCTGGATGGAAATCTACGCCTTTGATTTTGGCGCAGTGCAGTGTTGCTGAATGGTGTTTTTTCTCGGATG